TTTTTTTTTTTTTCTGCTCTGCCCATGTCCATGAATTCAGCGAGAGCAGAGCAATGATTTGAAGGTTACAAATATATCTTAGCAAGTAAGCAAGATCTGCAAATATGGAATCTTCGAACAATGAAGGTTGAACTGTAACTAACCCTAAATAAGTAATAATAAAAGTGCTAAAGGAGACTGTTAAATAGAAAAGGGAAAGATGCAAATCAGACACAGACACTATTTCACACATATCAGATTGTCAAAAACTGAAGAGTCTGATTATGACAAAGCACAAAGTCTAAGAAAACTGGAATTCTTATACCCTGTTGTCTGGAATACAAATTGGTTAAATTATTTTGTAAAGCAATTTGGCAAAACTAGTGAAGTTGAAGATGCACATACCCTACGATCAGCAATTAATTCCAGTTCTAAGTACAGACAGCCTATGTGCACAAGGAGACATACTCAAAGAAGTTCACTACAGCACTGTTTTCAATAGTAATAAATTAGAAAGAACTTAAATGTCCATTTATAGAGAAGCAGCAAAACAAACTGCAACATATTCCAAGGGTGGATTTCAATGAACGAAGTATCAAACCTGTTGATTTCAAAACCCTAATGTTGAATGAAAAAATCATGTTGCAAAAGGATGTATACAGTGTGACAACATTTATGTGAAGTCTAAAAACATATAAAATAAATGGATATATTATTTCTGGACACATATTTGGGTGAAGTGTATAAGCATTCATAAGAGACACAAACTGTAGTGCACAGTGGACACCTCTAGGACCAGAGGTGAAGGACTGGATGGAGTGTTGGGGGGGGGGGGGGGGGGTGCGGGGAGTTGGATTTGAAATGGCAGCCAGCAGCTCTCAGAATATGGCCCAGGTTCCCCCGGTGGGGGTGGTGACTTTGGGATGCTTTCTAGGGGACAAGGTCAAAACCATTCTCACAATAACATTAGGATGTTATTCGCCTTTGGTATTCCTTCTCTCACAAGTGTATGGTAAGTGTTTCCGGAGTCTACATGGCATGCGTTAACAGACTGAAAGCAGAAGCAGGTCAAAATGATTCAACTATCTTCTATTAGGACAGACAGAAAACAGATCTACAAAAATGTAAAACTGCCACTTTTATCACTAATTTTTCTTAAAAACATGGTTGTCTTCCACAAAAATGTTTCGATTAATGTAATGGGTTTCCTATTTAAAAAAATTAATAAATATTTTTAAAGTATTGTTTTAATTTCTAAAACAGTAGGTAGCAATACACATGACCCATATAAACAAAAGCTATCTGGGTCTTTAATAACTTTTAAGAATGTAAAGGGGTCCCAAGACAAAAAAGCTTAAGAACTGCTGATCTAGATGTATTTCTAATAATTTAATTCGTGAAAATTAGCTGCTCCTTGATATTCAAGCTCAGCTCTACTCTAGGACATGACGTTGCTGTCGGAAGCCCGACCCTGATTCTGCACAGCTCACTACCTCAGTTCACTCACGTTTCACCACATGCTTTCTATAACTATGCCCTAAGAGAACTATCTATCCCCTTTATCTTTCTACAAACTCACATTATGTATTTGTCTACTGTTCAGTCTCTCCCACTGGATGCGAGGTGCCTTTTAGCAGGTGTGTTCTTCTCTTCCCTAGAACCCAAAAAGGTTCTGGCCTGGCAACAGCAAGTACTAATTTATTATATTTATTACATAAGGGAACTGATAAAATTTATAAATTCCTATAAATATGCATTAAGTATTTATCAAATTTTATCAATTCTCCAAAAGGTGAATATATAAAAACCAAAGAAAAATATTGTTTAAATGGATGGTACTGTATGTCACTTATACAAATCTGAATACTGGATTTAATTACAAATTTTAAAATAATTTTTAAGTGTCTGTTTGCAGACGACATATTATGTAGAAAACCTAAAAATTCCATCAAAAAACTGTTGGACTACTTAACTGAGTAAAGCTGCAGGGTATAAAAAATCAATATACAAAAATCTACTGTATTTCTATACACTGACAATAAACTATCAGAGAAATTAAGAAAGTAATCCCATGTATAAGAGCACCAAAAACAATAAAGTACTTAGGAATACATTTAACCAAGGAGGGGAAAGATCAATACACTTTTGAAAACTGTAAGACACTCATGAAAGAAACTGAAGACACAAATAAATAGAAAGATATTCTGTGCTTTTGGACTGGAAGAATATCGTTAGAGTCGATCCTTACTGAAATTCAAATAGCATGTTTCACAGATATAGAGAAAACAACCCCAGAATTTATATGGGACCCCAAACACTCTGAAAACAAAGCAATCTTGAGAAAGAACAAAAAAGCTGGAGGCATCACACTCCCAGATTTCAAACTATACTACCAAAGTGACAGTATTCAAAACAGAATATTATTGGCATAAAAACAGACACATAGATCAATAAAACAGAATAGAGAGCCTAGGGGGCAAAAAAAAACATGCATATATGGTCAATTAACTTTTGACAAAGAAGCCAAGAATATACAATGGGGAAAAGACAGACTCTTCAATAAGTAATACTGGGAAAACTGGACAGCCACATGTAAAAGAAATGACATTGGACCCTTACACCATACACAAGAATCAAATAAAAATGGATTAAAGACCCACTTTTGTATGTAAGATCTGAAGTTTCTGGTGTATTAGAAGAAAACATAGGGGATCAAGATTTTTTGGTTTTGCACCAAAAGCAAAAATAAGCAGCGGGATTACGTCAAACTGAAAAGCTTCTGCTCAGCAAACAATCAACAAAATGAAAAAGCAACCTACAGAATGGGAGAAAATATTTGCAAACCACACGCCCAATAAAGGGTTAACCAGGGAAGGGCCAACAAAATCCTGAAAAAGAATGTAGCCAGAGGACATGTCTTAACAAGATATTAAAACTTAAGACAAAGCCACAATAATAAGAATCATCAAAAACAAAACAAAAAGAAAACACTATCATTGGAACTGGAAAAAAATTTCAATACATAAAGGATTTCCAAGTAAAATAAAGGTGGTCTTCTTTTAATCCAGTGGGAAATGATGGTTTATATTGTATGTGATGTTCACCCAACAGACTACCTAGAAGGAAAATCAGGTTGAACTTCTATCTTCACACCACTTAATCTTAAATGCACAAGAATAAAAATCTTTGGACAAAACCTTGAACAAAAATCTTTGGAAGTGACTAAAGGTACAACCTATGTGCTGGGGCGATTTACCTCCAACAAGAAACCTAAAATATTGGATAAAATTTAGTAGCAAAAACTACCACACAGAAGGCAAAAATTGTGATGCAAAAGAAAAGGAAAAAAAATCTGCAATGCCTATCACAAATGAAGGAGTTGAAAGATAATTTAGTCAGGACTTGTATACTATGAGGAGCTATATACTGTATGATAGATACTATTGTTTAACAATGTATATTAGATACTCATAATGTACAAACAGCTCATATAAATTTTCCAAAAAAGTAAACCACTTAAAAGTTAATGGGCAAAGGATATAAACAATTCATAGAAAAGTATTTCTAAATGTTCAATAAATATTGTATTAAATCCTCAAATTAAAGTAACAATGAGATATTGTTTCCTGCTAAACACACTGGAAAAAATTAAAAGGAGTTAGGGAATGTGCACTCTCATATACTGCTAACAGAAATACAAATTGTTACAATCTTTTAGAATGCAATCTGGTAAAATCTACTATAAGTACACATGCCCCCATCCAGTAAACCCCAATGCACAGAATACATTCACATTATGATATATTTGGCAACCATTATAAAGAATTAATTGGATCTACATCAGATCATTTGAAACACAAATTCATGATGTACCTTTGAGTGGGGGAAAAAAAAGAATTTTAAAAACAAAAATTTTAAGAAAGCAATCCACAAAAAGTAATTAAAAGTTCATGATAAAAACAGCTTGTTTAACATGATCCCATTTACATAAAGTCAAATGTGTATCATACATCTATGTAGCACAGATCTAAGGGATCTAAGAGATCTATAGTGATGGTCATCAAAATGTTACCTCAAGGCTAAGACTTCAGGGGATTTTTATTATTTTTCACATTTTATGCACTGTCTAAACTTCAAACACAACCATATATTTATATAATAATATAAACATAATATTATATAATAATATAAACAACCAGCTTCTGGTTTCTTTTTTTTTTTTAAAGCAACTTATTTACCTTCTTATTCCTTTCCTTCCCCTGCTGAATCAGTTGTCAAGTCCTATTAATTTTACCTCTGAAATGTTCCTCAGGTCTGTCTTCTTTATAATCCCAGAGTTTAATCCTTTATCATTTCTTGCCTGTAGTACCGAATTAGCCTACCTCAACACTTTGCCTCCTTTATCACTACCAGTTTGTTTCCTGTTAAAAACTACGCACCATAAAAAAATACATACTATCCTATGCTAATTTCCTCCTAAAAACCTGAGCACTTCCTCACTGACCATAAAGACCAAATTTTACCAAAGCATTCAAAACTCGTAAGTCCCAAACTATCTTAACCATCCAAACTATCTTAACCATCCAACTGCCATTTATTTATTCACTCATTCAACAAAGATTCATCATGTGCTGTGTGCTAGACAGTGTTCTTGCACCTGTGATACATTAGTGAACAAAGAGCCAAAACGACCTGCCCTGACCTTGTAGAGTTCATATTCTAACGGGAGTGGGGGGAGGACGAGAGGGAAATAAAAAATGAACACAATGAAGAATTATGTAGTGTATATATACAGCATGTAAGCACAGTGAAGGAGCAAATTATACAGCAGGTAAGAAGATCGTTGTTACAGGAGAGAGAACTACATACAGCCCAGTGCTGGGCTGAGGCAGGGGAGAGGTTGTACTTCTTAAACAGTCTGATCAAAGCAGTCCTGACTGAGATGAAGTTAAACAGACTTGAAGGCAGTGAGGCAGTCAGTCTTGGGGATTTCTGAGTAAAATGTCCTCCACCTCAGACTCTGTGTAAAGGTTGTAGGGTGAGAGTGAGCCTGTATGTTCCTGGAATAGCAAGGAGGGCAGTGTGGCTGATGGGGGGAGTGGGGTAAGAGATGAGGCCAGAGAGGCATCAGGACAGGAGTCTAGACCAGAGTGTATGGGACCTCCTAGGCTCAATCATAAGGACTGTGGCTTTTACTGTGAATGAAACAGGGAATATAAGCAACACTAAGGCTGCCTGGGAATTTACCTCCTCCCAGAGTCAGTCCTTAATGGACTCGTATGTGGGTAAATTCTCAGGCTCCTTTGTTTTATCCCTAACAACTCTGAGGTGCTACCCACACTATCTCCAGAGCTTCCCACCAGGACATAACCAGAGTTACTTTCCCTGAAGTATACCTCTGCACGGTTTTTTTTCCTTTGCATGTCCCACTTGCCGAAAACACCGCTGGTTTCTCCTGGGAACAGTTTCTTTTTTTTTTTTTTTCTTTTAAAGTTCATTTATTTATAAAGAGAGAGAAAGAAAGAGAGAGAGAGAGGGAGGGAGGGAGAGAGGGAGGGAGGGGCAGAGAGAGAGAGAGAAAGAGGGAGAATCTCAAGCAGGCTCCACACTGCCAGTGCAGAGCTCAATGAGGGGCTTGATCTCATGAAGTGTAAGATCATGACCTGAGCTGAGGTCAAGAGCTGGACGCTTAACTGACTGAGCCACCAGGCGCTGCTCCTGGGAACACTTTCTAAGTCTCAGGATCTGCTTCTGAGAAACCCAAGTTAAGAGAGGAAAAAGTTTTATGTGAGATGTGGCATGATTTATTCAACAAAATTGAATGCTGAACCACTAACTGTTCCTAAAATACACAATTCATATGCTCATGTCTTTAGACATGCTGGTTTCTTTGCTAAGAAATAACAACACCTTTCTTCCGTCCCCTTTGGAAAAGCTTTATTCCTTTTCTAAAATGCCAACACAAATGATGATTTCTTGCTGTATGAAATCCTTTCCAGCCTCTTATTAAAGCAACATGTTTCTATCAGAACATAATTTAAGAAATAATTATCTGCATTTTCTATTTTTATCTAGACTCAGATCATTAAGAGACCTTATCTGATTTTTTATAATTACTCCCAAAGTGCTTACCTAACACAGTGCTTTGCACACAGTAAGAATCAATGCAACTTACTGTATTTGATAATTCCTTGTAAGGTTTTCTTCTCATATTGAGCCTAATGTCAACTTCACAAAAACTTCAGTTTAAATCTAAACAATATGCAGCAGAAATCAATTAATTTTACTATGAATTATTTTTATTTTCTGCATGAAGATGTGATTCCAACAGTTTTTATGCCTTGGCTGTAAACGAGCACAGAGACCTGGGGCTTTTAAGAAATGTACACACTATGAAAAGTCTCACAGTACTTACTTTGGGGAGAGCACCGGAGGACTGACAAAAGACCGAAGTGCATCTTTCACCATGTCTTGCATGAGATGGGTTCCAAAGACCTTTTTGTTATCCACCAGGAAAGTAGTCTTAAAACAAATGTTATGTATTAGTAATGCTGTCAAAATCTTGACATATTGTACATATAACTGTCATTACTGTGACATGAACACAACAGAAGAGATTAAAGCATAAAAACCTGGTGGAAATCAAGGAATCGCTACCTCCACAATGGGTTATTACTTGTTAATCTATATTTAAGATGTATTCTGATGAAGGTGTATAAAGAAAAAATACCTCTCAAGCCAAAGGCAATAATAGTGAACTAGTCAAAATGAGCTGACCAGGGACACCTGGGTGGCTCAGCTGGCTCTTGTTTCAACTCAGGACATGATTTCACAGGTTCATAATTGTGCCTGTGTCCAGCTCTGTGCGGACAGTGAGGAGTCTGCTTGGAATTCTCTCTCTCCCTCTCTCTCAAAAATAAATAAACTTAAAAAAACAAACCCCAAAATGAAATGACTAGTCTGAATACGTCAAATAAGCTAATATATAAGAAAGAGGGCTTCATAAGTTATTAAACAGCAAATGGCTATAAATATTTAGTTGACAAACTTTGTCTCTAATGAACATTTTGGAATACACACTTCCTGAAATTGGAAAAATTATTTAATGATTAAATTTAAAATAAATTATTTAACAATAGTTTGCATTTCATTTTCTCCCCTTACTGACCTCAGCATATTTTAATATTTCCTATACTATCCCTTCTTTGATTTCCTAACCCATTTGGGTTGTTTCCAGTTTTGGGTGATCATGAAACAAATAGCTATAAACATTCGCATACAGGTTTCCATGAGAAAACTGGGTTTCACTTTTCTTAGGTAAACATTAAGCAGGAGTGGGATTTGTACATTTAAGAATCTGCAAATTGTTTTACAAAGTGGTTGTAGCACTTCATGGAATTATCAGTAAATGCATCCTCACCAGCACTTGGTATTATCAGTTTTTCTTTCTTCTTTTTAAAAGATATGAGAAAAGAAAGATAGTGGTATTTCATTGTGGTTTTAATCTGCATACCCCTAGTACCAATTATGTTGAATATCTTAAAAAAACTAGGTTGTCTGTTTCTGTTAGGTTTATAAATTTCTTTGTATAATACAAGTCCTATGCTACACATGATTTGCAAATATTTTCTCCCATTCTGTAGTCTCTTTTCATTTTAACAGTATCTTCCACAGACTTATACTTTTAAGTTGATCAACTGACCATTTTTTAAGAATTGTGTTTTTGGTGTCATACCTAAGAATACTCTGCCTTCTAACGTCAAAGATTTCTCCTGTCTTTTCTTGTAAAAGTTTTATAGTCTTACATTTTAGATTTATGATGCATTGTAAGTCAATTTTTTTTTGCATATGTCTGTCCAATTGTTCTTGCAACACTGTAAAAAATCCTGCTATGATTTTATTGAGACTGCTTTGAATCTATAGAACAATTTTGGGAAGAACATCTTAAAAATATTAATTCTTCCAATCCACAAACAAGGTATATACCTTTCCATTTATTTAGGTCTTTGACTTCTTTCACCAATACTTCTAGTTTTTCTGCATTGTCTACAAACAGGTATTAGATTTATATCTAAGTATTTTGTGGTTTTTTTGAGATTATTGTAAATAGTACTGCTAAATTTTTGACTTCCCATTGTTCCCTGAAAGTATATAAGAATACAATTGTTTTTTGTATATTGACCTCATAACCTGTGCTCTTGTTAAACTCACCCATCTGGTCTAGGAACTTCTCTCAAAATTCTGGTGCTCTACACAGAAAATAATGTCTATAAAACGCTGATGATTTCTTCCCTGTTCAGCTGTATGCCTTTTGTTTCCTTTTCCTGCCTTTTTTCACTGGCTAAAATTTCCAATACAGATCTCCATCAACTTATAATGGGGTTACATCCCAAAACCCATTTTAAGTTGAATAGCTGCAATGCATTCAATACATCTGAATACATACCGAACACCATAGCTTATAGCCTAGACTACTCTGAATGTGCTCAGAACACTTACATTAGCCTACTGTGGGGCAAAATCATCTAATACAAAGCCTATTTGATAATAAAGTGTTGAATACCTCCAGTAATTTATTGACTGCGATACCGAAAGTGAAAAACAGAATGGTTAAACAGACTGTTTACCCTTGTGATTGTGTAGCTGAGTGGGAGCTGCAACTTGCTGGTCAAGCCCAGGATCAGGAGAGAGTGTTATAATACACATTGCTAGCCCAGAAAAAGATCAAAATTCAAAATGCAAAGTATGGTTTCTACTGAATGGACATCACTTTCAGACTGTTACAAAGTCGATAAATCATAAATTGAACCATCTTAAGTCATGGGCCATCTGTAGTATGTTGAATAAGAGAGGAGTGAGAGAGCGGACATTCTCACTTTACTCCCAATCTTTGGAGGAAAGGATTTAATCTTTCATCACAAAGTATGACGTTAGCTGCAAGTTTTTTGTATATACCCTATATCAGGTTAAGGGAAGCTTTCTTCTATTCCTAGTTTTGACGAGAGTTTTTGTCATGAATGGATGCTTTTGTCAAATGCTTTTCCTGAATGTACTGAGACTTTATTTTTTTTTAATTTTCTAATGTTTATTATTTTTAAGAGAGAGAGAGACAGAGACAGAGACAGAGACAAGGTGTAAGTGGGGGAGAGGCAGAGAGAGCTGGAGACACAGAATCCAAAGCAGGCTCCAGGCTCTGAGCTGTCAGCAGAGAGCTGGACGCAGGGCTCTAACAATGAACCATGAGATCATGGCCCGTGAATAAAGTTAAGGCTTGACTGAACACAAGCATATGAGACTGATCGTATGGTGGATTACCTAGTTTTAATGTTTATTCGCTCTTATTTAAAATAAATTTAAATTTAAAAATTTAAATAAAAAATGTTTATTGAAAGATAGAGTGAGCGCAAGCAGGGGAGGGGCAGAGACAGACTCCCAACCAGGCTCCATACTCCTTGCAGAGCCCAAAGTAGGGCTCAATCTCATGACCAGGAGATCAGGACTGGAACCGAAAACAAGAGCCGGACGCTTAACTGACTGAGCCACCCAGGTGCCCCTACATGGACTGATTTTCAAAGGTTGAACCAGGCTTGCATTTTTGGGATAAAGCCCATTTGGTCATGATGTATTATCTTTTTTTTTATATATTGCTGAATTTGATATCATAATACTTTAAGGTGGTTCTATCTATGCTCATAAGGGATACTGGCCTGTAATTTTCCATGCTTTTAATGTCTTTGGTTTTGCTACTGAGATAATGCTGGCTTTATTATGTATATTGTTGCCTCTTCTATTTTTTGGAACAGACTGTACAGAATTGACCTGGAATTTTCTCTGTTGGAAGGTATTAAACTATGAATTCAATTTAACAGATGTAGGATCATTCAAGTTCTCTGTTTCTTCATGAGTTTTGATAGTGTCCTTCAAGAAATTGGTCCATTTTATCTATGATTTTGAATTTATGGACACAGAGTTGTTTATAATATTTCCCATATATCCTTTTACAGACCCTTTTGGAGTCTGCAGTGGTCCTTTCTTTTTTCATTTGTGATATTATTCATCTGTACTATACCTTCTTTTTTTTGTTCTGCCTGGTTAGAGGTTCTTCAATTTTACTGATATGTTCAAAAGAATCAGGATTTTAGTTACATTAATTTTCTTTACTGTTTACCTGTTTCCTATTTTACTGATATCTGCTTTTATCTGTAGTATTTCTTTTCTTCTGCCTGCTTTGAGTTTCATTTGCTCTTTTTTTTTTTTTTAAAGCAGAAGCTTAAATTTTCAGAGCTTTCTTTTTAAAAAAATTTAATTGAAGTATAGTTGACATACAGTATTATATTAGTTTCAGATGTAGAACACAGTGATTCGACAATTCTATATACCAGGAAATGCTCACCATGGCAAGTGCAGTTACCATCTGTCACCAAAGTTATTACAATACTATTGACTATATTCCACATCCTGTACTTTTCACCCCTGTGACCTATTTATTTTATAACTGGAAGTTTGTATCTCTTAATCCCCTTCACTTATTTCACTCATTCCCCTATCTCCAACCCCTCTGGCAACCATTTTCTTTTTTTTCTCATATAAACATTTAATCCTATAAATTTTCCTCTAAGCACTGCTTCAGTTATATCCCACAGAATCTGTATGTTATATTTTCATTTTTATTCAGTTCAAAATATTTTCAAATTATCCTCAAGACTTCTTCTTTGGCTCAAGGGTTGTTTAGAAGTGTGTTAATTTCCAAATATTTGGAAAATATTTATGGATTACTAGTTTCATTGCAAAATAGTCAGAGAGCATACTTTGTATGATTTCAACTGATTTTAAATTATTAAGGTTTGTTTTATAGTCCAGCATATGGTCTTGGTGAATGTCTAATATTCCAATATTTCTATCACAAAAATATAACACTAACTGTTGAACATCCTTTAAAAGCATCTACTTTTGTTCCAGCAATCAATAAAACAATGTCGACACACAAATAATTTGATGTTTAAAGAAGTATTTCAATACTATGTAGAACTTACTTGTAATAGAGATCTTGAAAGAACACAAGGAGATTGTTCACTAAATTCACAGAAAAAATCCTGATACACACAGAAAAAGTAATGTCATTAATAGATTAATAAAAGCCAGAAATGTTTTATTTAGCATGCAATTTTTATCAGACCTTCTGCAAATTAAATACTAGTAGAATTAAAATATGACAAAGAGCTAAGAATCATTTCTATAGGAATTGTCTAATTGTATCAATAGGACGATGGAGGATTTTGGAGCCTAATTTTTTTTTAACTGAACAATAGTCAATTGTGTATACAAATATTATGTATGCACACCATGAAAATAATAGTACCAATAATAATTTCCTAACTAATGGTAGAAGTTTACTTCCTACTTCACAGAAATAAATACCACGTAACCAGGCCAACTGGATTCATATAACTGTTCCTGAAAGATATGCTTAGAAAATTATATATGGGTTTATACATAGATAAAAGAAAAAAGCTAAGAAAATACACTAAAATGTTAACTTCTGTAGATTATATAGGGTAGTAGTTACCTATCATTTTCATATTTTTCTGTATTTTCCAGACTCATGATCCTCAATTTAAAGGGGTGCTCTGCCAAATCCTACCAAGTTTCTCTAGTCAATTCACTTTTTTAACAATTAACTTTTATGCCTTGGTCACACTTTTCAAAGTGAATGTTCTCCACCACAGATGTCCTCCCATTTAACATTACAAAGAAAATTAAGTCATCTATCCAGCAGGCAATCCTCTGCTTCAGCCTCTGAATGTTATTACTGACTTGCCCACTTTAACAACGGAGGACCCCCAACTTGTACTACACACTGCATTCCTTTCGGTCTTATCAGAACATTACACATGGTCAATAATCCATCCTTGTTTTCCCCTGATATTTAAGTTCTCCCTTTCTGCCATATCCTCCCCACCTACATTTAAGTAAAATTTTCTCCCATCTTTAAAAAGAAAAATACTGTCACATGCTCCCACATTTCACTCTTAACCACTGCCTTCTCAGCCAAACTTTCTAAAGGAGTTGGCTGCATCATCTCTCCTTATTCAAAGGCCCCCCTCATCAACACACGCTAGCCTGGCTCTTCACTCTAGTCACCACTGTTGTCTGACACCAAATCCAATCAACATCTGTTTTGGACTTTATTCACCTCTTTCATCTGACCTCTCAGCAGTATGTGACAGGACTTCCTTTTTGAAAAACCTTTTAACTGACTTCCATGAGTTTCTTCCTCTGTGGTCACTTCTCAGTCTGCTCTGTAGGTTCAAAGTTTAGTTCCAGACTATTTTTCTTTTCTCAAGCTATATACTTTTTCCCTCACAATCGTCTCTGTATTCATGCTTCCTTTGATTACTACTTGTAATAGTTCCAAAATTATATATTGAACACAGACTTCTAAGTTCTATCCATATAATCAATACCTAATTCAATATCTCTACATAAATAGTTCAAACGTACCTCAAAATCGGCCTTACTAAGACCCTCAGTTGACTAAGGGTCTTTGAATTTCCCCATTTCGGTAAGCAGCACCAGTGTGTATCAAGATTTGCAAGTCAGAAACCCTGGGCCTTCCTGAAAGCTCTCTCATGTCCCATATTTTAATTCATCACCAATATGCTATCAATTTTAGTTCATACATAGCTCTAACTCTGACAACCTCATGTCACCTCCCTGCCATCCTTCTATTCTCTCTCCCTTGAACTGCAGTAACGGTCTCTTAATTTATTATCCCCCTGTGTTTACTCTGTTCCTTTCCAATCTTTTCTCTACAGTCAACCACATCTCCCAAACTGTTAATCCATTTATTTAACTGCCCCACCCATATTCACCCATGTGAAAATGCAGAAACATGCAGACCATAAACTACAGTCATAACTGACATCTTGATATTTGTTATTCCAGTATTTGAAAAACTGAACTTCGCTGTGTCTGACCATCACTTCTGTGTGACAATGTATAAAATGGGTAAAGCATTTTTGAAACAGGACTTGACATTCACAAACATTTCCTTATGTCAGTATTTTTCTATAACATGCTTTTTAACAGCACTGTGGCATATATTCTACACATACCCATAGGATGGATAGTGGTATCACCAGTGTTTCTAGTTTTTCAAGATTACAAATGATGACGCACCAAATACCTCTTTAGTTCATCTTCGCAACATATCTTAGATGATTTTATTATGCTAAATCTCTAGAATGGGAGTTGCTGGGTCAGGATATACACTATTTTTAAAACTTCTGAGAGAGACAGCCACAGGAGTATAGGAGAGCTACTATTTCCCTCCATCAACATTAAATATTGCTATACTTTTCAATCTAGTTATTATAAACTGCATTTCTTCAATTACTAGTAAGGTTCTACCTTTTTCACATTTACTTCCTTTTCAGTGTGTATGCTCATGTCCTTTCCCAATTTTCCACTGAGATGTACTCCTTATCTGAACAGTGACCGGTTTCTTAGGCAGAACTACCAGACTGTTTGGTTCCTTCTCCCTCTCACTTTAATCTTTTCCTCTATTCTTAGACTCAACTACTCCCTACCTCCCCTCATCCCACAACAGGTATTCCTGTCCCAAGTGCTCCAGGGAGCCAGATTCTTCTCCTTCTATGCCCTCTTCATGTCCAGTGCTGGAAGTGCAGGCCTGACTCCCCCAGCTATGCTGTGTCATTCAGCATTCAACTTTCTGACAAGGCAATCCATAACTTTCTGCCAGAATGTCAAATTCCAACTGTTGCATTATTCTTATTCCAACTCACATTGATCAATTTCTTTTCAAAAATCTTACAATTAATCTGAACACAAATATACATTTACATAATTAAGAATCAAAAAAGGAGATATAGCAGAAGAATAAGAAAGTCTCTAACTCCTGATATGCCACTAACCAATCATCTATTTTGGTTACAAGCCCTCTAAGCCTTAACTTTGTTTACCTATACGATGAACTATAAAATGAACTGGGTTATGTCTATGATCTTTTCAACCTTTAAGATTCCATGATTCTTATGACAGAATAAGGAAAAAACTACAAAAAAAAAAAAAAAAAAAAAAAAAAAAGCAAACAGAAATGGGGTAACAAAGACACAAACAGGGGAAGTTTCACTAAGCAATGAAGACTCATACTGGTGTTAATGACAAAGAATTAGAAGGGAAAACAAAGTTATTACAAGAAAAAGCATAAACAAAAGCACAAATCTTTGCTGACCATGAAAAAAATATATTCCAGAGGCTGCTGCTCAATTCCAGGAATGTAAATGAGATAATAATCATCTCCAGGAATACAGGAACAGAAGCAGCCTAGAACCAACAAGGAAGACCTCACAGGGAAAATGACATGGGCTAGGAATTACGTATCTCTATGCAGAGTTGTGCAAAATAAATTAGTGTGCTTATGTCTAAATAACAACAGTATTATTCTGCATATTTTCTACCTTCCTAACATTGCTTTTCTATATTTTAACCCATAAAGAAGATTAATCCAAAATATGTAAAAATGTATATACTCTTCAACCCAGTAGCTTCATGGTTTAGGATTATAACTTAAGGAAGAAGGAAGCAGACGATACAAAGGTCTACCTACAAAAATGTTCACATTAGTATCGTTTATAACATTAAAACGCTGAAAAGGGCCTCACTATAATATGAATGAACTGGAAAAAATTGTGATCTATGTTTACAATGGAATACCATGTAGCCAATTGAATAATATAGAAATATGTTTATTTGTTGACATGAAAAGAAAGATGTTCATGATATAGAGATTAGTGATGAAAGCAGGTTAACAAGCACCACGATCTAATTTTTATATGAAAATATACATGTATACATGCATGTACATACGTATGTGTATACACACAAAAGTTTTGAAGACAGAATCCAGGGTTTAAATCCCCATTCTTCAAACTTGGGTGAATTATCTAAACTTCAGTCTTTTAATCTCTAAGATGGATAGTATATAATCCTTGTGAAGATTAAATAGAAAAATACACACAATACACTTACAACACTTAATCCTCCAGCTATCAAAGAAAGCAAACAATATTATTTATCCATGGGACAGTCTAAAAAGTGATAAACTGTTCTGTTGTTCAATCAAAATCATAATCCAAAACAGAGATTTGTACTTACCAGAATACAATGTAAATTTGTTAAATTGACCACCTCACAAACAGTTTTTATTCTATCTATTAATCTTGCAAAATAGTTGACCATTTCTTCCCTTTTAATTATTTTTGCATATCGAGGGAAGGTAGGTGGAAGTAGCCTCTGGTTAACAAGGGGTTCAAAACCCATCATAATTGGATGATCTAAAAAGAAAAAAAGTAAGATTTTTCAATGTTTTGCTGAACTTTAATCCTCAAATACTAGTAAATACGAAAAGAGGCCAATTTCAAAAGCATCTGCAAATTCTTGTGACAGTATTTTCTAAATGAATTTTATAATTTACACATATCTACACACGTGCATTTTTAAAAATGAGATAAGCAGATTTAATAACCTGAAAATTGTACTTCCCATCTACAAGTAATCGGTAGTAGTGATGGAAAGGGGTTGCTACCTCAAAATTAACTACAAGTCATGAATGAGATAAAATAGGGTGAATATATTCCCTCAAAAAAAAAGGCAATGCTGTATTAACTATGAGATTGTGAAAAGGTAAAATGGGAACATAAATTTTGGCTGTCTTCCCTTCAATTACTGAACAGCAGAATCAACTCAAACTTAGCTACATAATAATAATGCAAACTTAGCTCCCACCCCAATGAATCTGGAATGCATTTGACACTGACATTAATTATAGAAATTCACAGTGCTTTAATGAAAATAACCCATTACAAAAGACCTAAGGGTGACTTCCTCTTTCCCATTTTCTGTCCACTGGTGACACCACTTTTCACACTAGCGCAAGGCTCCAAACTAAGTCTCTGTCAACTTGTAATCTAAAATGAGGAAGTATATAAAGTGAGAATTAAGAATTTGGGATTCAGGGGCGCCTGGGTGGCTCAGTCAGTTAAGCATCTGACTTCGGCTCAGGTCATGATCTTGCAGTCTGTGAGTTTGAGCCCCGCATCGGGCTCTTTGCTGACAGATCTGGAGACTGCTTCAGATTCTGTGTCTCCCTCTCTCTGCCCCTCTCCCACT